TCATTGATAGATCAACCATACACATAGCTTGGACTTACAACGACTCGAACTCCCTTCAAGCCTAGCCAACACTACTCGGATCCTATCAACTAATTCTCCGGCCACGTCCCGTGGACTTTTAAAACCTACACTTATTCCCTAAGTGTATAAACTGTAAAATAGTTTTGGATGAAACACAAAGAACAAAATAAAACAGCTTCAGTCCTTGAGCTAGTTCGAACTCTCAGACTGAACTGTGTACAACTCAAAAAAACAGAATACACGAAGCTCAATTATTGCTCTATAAATCTTCAAAACTCAGCAGCCGCAATGAGAGCTTGCATATGGGTATTTAAAAGAATCTCCTTAGGGTTGGAGTCTTCTACAAGGCATAGGACTCCAACCTTGATTTCCTTCCTTGTTTATAGCATAAGAATATGGTAAGTGAATCTTCTTCTCTCTCTCCTTGATCTCTTTATCATACACGCCTCTTCCTTCATTATCTCATCCGATTTCCTACAAATCAAAGCACCATAATAAGATCCAGAATATCTTATTTATGGAATAAAATAATCGTAATTAAGGCAACAAATTAGCAAAGATCTTCCCTGTTTCTGTAGTTCCAGGTGCTTGTTAGAACCTTCGAACTAATGCCAAGATAAATATCTTTCAAGTTGAATTTGGTACAAATATTTGATAGTACCAACTCAAATTTTGAGAACACTTTTAACCAGAAATTCACGTATCCACCGTGGGCACATGTTAATATGTCCACCGCGTAGATGACATGCATTTATTGGTGATGTATTTTTTTAAACATATTAATATCACCAATGAGTGGATACCGCCTACACGGTGGACATGTTAACATGTGTCTACCGTGGGTAAGGGAGCATTTCTACACTTTTAATTACCCAATAGGATCATATTAAAACCGTTATCTATTAATATATAATAAGGATTAACGTACTTCACTTTTAGAAACATTTTTCTGCCAATTTCATTAATTAGTGCCTAAAAATAGTAAATTAATAAAAATCAATGTAATTTATGTACATAATCTTTAGTCAAATATTTACTGTTATTACCTTTATGGGGGTTGATATAGGATATTATATACTCAAGGATAAACCGGCCTACTTGGCCGGTCGAGGAGGCCAAACCGGAAGCAGGCCGAGCCAAAAAGGCGGGAGAATTGACGCTCGAGCAGCTCAAGGCTCGACCAGACAAGCAATCGAGCAACCCAACGCTCGAGCAGACAAGAAATCGAGCAGTCCAATGCTCGATCAGATACATCGAGCAGTCTATAATTCGATCAGGTAAGTGATCGAGCAAGCTAGTCGATCCCAGCAGGGTGATCGCTTCGAGAAATTCATAATCGACCTAGTTACGGGCGCGTGTATCATAGGCGCGTGTAGGAGCCTCTGACTGAAATCTCCAGAGAATTTTCTGCATCCACAAAGATTTGTACAATTTAAAAACAAGATAAAACTTTAAAAAATCGAGACAAATAATTTATTCAAACTTGACCTATATGTTTTTCTTTTTAAAAAAACATATATATTTTATTTTAGCTTCATCATTATTTTTTAAAATATTGTTCTATTTAGAGTGGGAACTTAAAATTGGCTACCGACATGAAAAATAAAGTTTATAGTTAAAAAATAATATGAAGCGTTGTCGGGTGTAAAATACATAGCTTAATAATGGAAATTTCACGTTAATCCAACTTAATTAGAAACTCCAAATAACGACAATAATGTCTTTTTTTAAAAAAATAAAATAAAATTATTAGCTGTTTGTGGGGACATTTTATAATCTGGTTCTTGTCCAGAATCTATGTCTGTTATTTCTGTATTGTCAGCACCAAAAAATGTGAATGATTATCAGTTGAATTTTGTACAAATATTTGATAGTACCAACTCAAAGTTTGAGAACACTTTTCACGAGAAATGTTCACCTACCCATCGTGAGCTCATGTTAATATGTCCACCGCGTAGGTGACATGCACTCATTGGTGATGTATTTTATTAAACATATTAACATCACCAATAGGTGACATGTTAATATGTCCACCGCGTAGGTGACATGCACATGTTAATTACCCAATAGGATCGTATTAAAACCGTTATCTATTAATATATAATAAGGATTAACGTAATTCACTTTTAGAAATATTTTTCCGCCAATTTCATTAATTAGTGCCTAAAAATAGTAAATTATTAAAAATCAATGTAATTTATGTACATAATCTTTTTAGTCAAATATTTACTGTTATTACCTTTATTAGTTGAATTTAAATTTAGGATGATTTAGTTTTATGGAAACAAATATGGGGGTATTGTAGAAACTTTCAAAATTCTTAGTTTAAATATATAGACTTGATTGAGCAATTATAGAGAATTAATAGTTAATTTTTATATCTATATTATATTTTCTTTATTGAGTAAAACATAATAAAATAATGCTTATGTTATTTTTCATACATCTTTTTGTTGACATAATAGAATTGCAAGATTATCCTTTTCTTTGTGGACAAGATAACCAAATACAAAAATATAAATAACATTTATGTGCCGCTAAAAAATATTTTGGACAAAATGTAGAAATGACTTTTAGAAATTACTTAATTAATTTATGGTATAAAGTTGACAAAATTAATAAATTTAATTTTGGTATAAAGTTGATGATTTTATTTTAAGTATCTGATAGTCATTTTTATCTTTTCGTAGAAAATGTGTTGTTAATAATAAATGTCTGATTTTGTGGTATAAAGTGGGTGGTTTATTTTTAGTATGAAATGTTCAAATTTAAATAGTATGAATTTTATTTGGAATGGATCGAAGTATAGTTGAAATTATTTAAAACAAAATAAGAGCATTTACAATGCATAGATATTGTTATCACATAAATTTTGATAAATGTCAACTGTTTACATGGATTGTGAACCACATAAGATATTTCTTATGTTCACAACTTTAAATCTAAAAAATTATCTGCGTGCACAATGTGATCAAACATAATATTGTCAATTGGAAAAAATAAAATAAAATATAAATAAGAAAAAAAAATAATAATTAGATATTTTGAAAATGGTAATAATATTTCTCTCTCATCTCTCAATTGGTTGATTAGAATGTAAAATAAAATGTGGATGAACCACATTCTTATAAAATCAATGTGATGTGATTCTTAAAATTTAGCATATTCGCATAATAATTTGCCATAATATATTGATGGTAATTCGACAAGTTGATATATTCCACTAAAAAATTATAATGATCTTTGAACAAACATTGGTAAATAAAATTTAAAATTAGTAATTTAATTCTATAGATTAATTGATAATTTTGAACGATAAGATAACTGACAACAAATCTAAAAAATGCGAGATATATAATACATATATAAATATATTATACATGAAATATATAAAAAAATTATTTATGTAGTCCAAATTTAGGTTCTAAATTTAAAGATCAAATAAGTAGTTATTCATAACTTATGCTAATATTAACTTGGATTCAAATGAATTATTCAATTATTTATAGTTTAATAAATTATTCAACTACTTAAATTTTTTGATTTGGACATGTCATACGAAAATAAATTCATTTTAGTTAATGAAATAATATAAGGTTTATAATTATATGTACTATTCACATAGATTTATAAATATATGATAAATTTTTACCAAAATATTTATTTTATTGAATCGAAACTACAACTTAAAGTAAGGGGTGCAAATTCCTCTTTAAAAAAACGAATCTTTTTTTTAAGAGTTTAATAATGCTTATAAGGCCCAATATTGGTCCAATAATTTTAGCAAGTGAACATTATCCAACATTGGAAACACAGGTAAAAAGGTGTACTATTTAAATAATTTCACAATCAACTAATTTCAAATTCAAAATCTTGAACCGTTGAACCAGTCGAACCAATCCCAATTCACCGGTTCAACCGATTTTATACCAGTTCTAACGGTTTTCGACCGGTTCAACTGGACCGAAACGAAGGCCGGTTCCCGGTCCTACCGGTTGAACCGGACAATCTGGCCCGGTTTTCAGAACAATGCACAATACACAATTAAAAATAACATCAAATACATTTTTCACGATTCTCACACCAGGACTAGTTTTTTTATTTAGCCAACCCTTACCAAATAAATTTGAAATATATTTAGCACTAAAAATTTTATTCCCTAACCCAAGTGCCAAATTTTCAAAATTACATAGATTGTTTTTCAAATAACCACAAATTATGGCTCAAAAGGAGGGATGGAAAAGTGTCTAAGGAATGCCTTGGGCATGAGTCAATTAGCTAAAACAAATAAATATACAAATTGATCATGCTTTGGAAGTCAATAATATTTTAGCTTCTCATGATTTGGAGGTCAATAATATTTTATTCTTCAAAATTTAGCTACCCCTATATGTTATTTTAGATTAATAACTGAAAAGGTAAACATAAGTTTAATGTGTAGTTCAGATATCACTATCTGTTGAATGAGCAGATTGTATGATTAAGTTTGTGGGAGCATATGACGAAATTCTGGCATAAACCTATGACCCGGACCGGCCGCAGGTCGACCCAGGTCCCAGTTGACCCAGAGCCGAGATCGATCTGGGTGGACTATTTAGACCGGGTAACAATAGACCCGGTCAAACCCGGCCATGACCCGGTCGATCCGTGTCATTGACCTGGCCGGGGGTTGACCCGGTCTCTATAAACTTTTAATTTTTTTAATATGATTTTTATATAAAAAATAAAAACTATGTTTATATAATGACATAGTAAATATTTATTGTGAGAATAAATATTATTAACACTTGAATGTACAAAATTTGCATACAAAATATTTATTTTTGTTACTTTTATGTATATTTATATGTCAAAAATAATATATATAGTTTTAGAAATTTTAAAATTAATTATCCAGTTCAGCAATTGACCCGGTGACCTGACAGTTGAACCGGTGACCCGGTAACCCGTGACCTCGAGTCGATTTCTGGGCCCGGTTTAAAAAATATGCCAATCACCATAAAATAATAATAATAATAATAATAATAATAATAATAATAATAAGGTAGTTAGGAACAATTATTGAGTTTGTAGGGTTGGGTGAGGAATATTTAGGACTATAAAAATAGATTACCGACAGACATAGATAGATTCCATAAATCTTTAAACAAATTATATTATACTATTATTTAGTCATTTTTACTTTTATATCAAACGAAAATTAGAGCAGCAGGTTTTTTTTCTATATGCCAAAAACATAAAACCCGAAATGGTCCCGGCGGGGCTCGAACCCGCGACCTTCGGCTCATAAGACCAACGCTCTAACCAACTGAGCTACGGGACCGTTTCGCATCAAATATTATCAGTTTGCAAGTAGTGGCAGCTACATTAACGCTACGATTGTGAAGCTCAAAGTCTGAAACACAATAAAAACTATCTGAAAACTGAAACACAATATACATACAGTCATACAGGACAACGACTGTGAAAAGTGCAATTCGAATCTAGTAAATGCCATGGCCTTGATATTCACCCATTTATGCAACCTTCGTGCTGCTCCGATTTTCGACTCTTGCAACTAAAACACAGTCGAAACATACGGGAAAATGGCAGGTGATGGCCTGTGTTTCTTTTTTGCGTGTATTGTTGTTAAACATCAAACTGCAAAGACACCTACAAAAGACAAAGGCAGCTGACACAATCGATATTGAAAAGTTCCATCACAAGCTGCCCAAAAACCGCCTTAAATGATCGGGTGATAAATCTTGGTCAGTCATTTGAATGGAACCACAATGAAAAAGGCCACAAGAAAACTAGCAAATTCTGCCACAACAGCAGAATAGAACACACCACCTATAAAGCCGAGCGCACATTACATACTTTTCTACTCATAAACTTTACTGCTGATTACATCATTCGATCATCCTGACCATTGAGTTCGAGTATAAACACCATTACAATGTAAATGAAATGATTAAGCTCGAGTACAAAAATATAGATTCAGCTAGCTGTCTGTTTTTCCTCGCAGCTTTCGAATTAAACACCTAAATACACAAAAAATGTTGAAAAACAACAAAGAAAAAAAAATCATAAAATACCTCGCTCAGCTAAAAACCTCGTAAAATTTCTCAATCACGAGTAAACCCGAGTCAATGGACTCCAGAGGGTCCTTCCTAAGCCGATGCCTCAAACAATTCGGAATAACGGTGGCAATATCCTCGGCACTCACTTTATCCCTCCCCTTGAGCGCCGCAAGTGCCCTGGATGCCCGGTTCGTGACGATATCGCCCCTCAACCCATCCACATTCAGCTCGGCACACACCCTCGAGATCTTAACCCTAAGCTCATGATCTATCGTGACCGACGAGAGGGAGCCCCTAGCAGCCGAGATCTGCTGCTGGAGCTTTTCCTGCTCGGCCGAGTAAGATTCACGAAACTCCTTCGGGCTCCGGTCAAACCTAGCCCGCTCCTCGACAATCTTCACTCGGAGCTCGGCATCTTTGACCGTCCCCACCTGCGCATGCATCCCGAACCGATCGAGCAGTTGTGGCCGGAGCTCGCCCTCCTCCGGGTTGCCCGACCCGATCAGTATAAAACGGGCCGGGTGAGAAATCGAGATTCCCTCTCTCTCGACCGTGTTCCACCCCGAAGCAGCCGAATCCAAAAGCACGTCTACAAGATGGTCGTCCAAAAGGTTGACCTCGTCAACATAGAGAATGCCCCGATTGGCCTTGGCAAGCAGTCCCGGCTCGAAAGCTTTTACACCTTCAGTCAAAGCCTTCTCGATATCGATCGTGCCACAAACTCGATCTTCAGTGGCCCCCAATGGCAAATCGACCATGTTGATCTTGGTGAGGACGATCGGGAGTTGTTCGCCTTTGGATGCCCGGTCGCGTACTTCGGGGCCTTGAACCTCGGCATCTTCGGGGTCGGAGTTAAACGGGTCGCCTGCAACTACTCGGATATTGGGTAAAAGATCGACTAGTGACCGGACGGTGGTGGACTTTCCCGTGCCACGGTCACCCATTATCATGACGCCCCCAATTTTCGGGTCGATCACGTTGAGGAGGAGACAGAGTTTCATTTCGTCCTGACCGACTATGGCTGCGAACGGGTAAACGGGCCTTTGAGCCTCCTTGGAGGCAGCAAGCTTTTGGACCTGAAACGAGCATTTTGACCATTTTCCAGTACATTATCAGTTTATCACTGATCATACTCTTGTGAACATAATTCACTTATCGGGCGGTCATGATAAACATTGTGAGGATAAAGCATTGGTTGAAGACTTGAAGTCATACTCTACTAGAGTACTAGCATGGCATGAAATTACCCGAATGTAAACGATAATCGGTTCCGGTTAATAACACTCTAGTTTATGAAAAGAACAGAACTTTCTTGTTTTCAAGTTTCAAACAAGTGAATGCAACTATGGGCAGACACTTCTAAGCATATCTTAAACCAACTTCGTCCTATCCTCTCTAGTAAACGAGGCCTAATTGAATCAAATTAACTGAAACCTGGTTCTGGGCAGGACTAATGTCAGTGACAACATTAGCAATTGAGACGTGGAATCGAAACCGTTCTTTCTTCAGAGGAACTCCAATCCCTCCACAGAATCTCCGGCCTGTGATGAAATAAATAAAGAAAAATCAGAAAAAATAAAAAAATTATGAACCCTTTAAGCACCCATTACAAGCCCTTTTCAAATTCTCATCCACCATAGCCAGAATTCAAGAAATTATGCTCACTCGTGAATAATTAGGCACAAAAAGTACGAAATTGCAGCAACAGAAACAAAGGGTTTTTTAGGGTGTGTTTGGAATCCAAATACCATGAGATGAGCGTACAGAGAAGAAAGATTTGGTGTTGAATGAGGACGAAGAGCATGGCCGAGAGGCCAACAGAGCAACACTGGAGATTCCCGCCATTGGTGACCACTTGGCGTGCTGTGTTTTTTCTTTTAGCTTCTTCACTTAGGGCTGTGTATATTTTTTTGGTTATCTGTGAAAGATGATGTGTGGTCAAGATAATGTGTGGTCAAGATAAGAGGATCAGATTTCCATAACCCACCCACAGTCTTCGCTCCGAAGACTGAAAAGGAGACTCTTTTATGGTTAATTTACAACTAGTATTACGCTACATGTTAATCAAAAAAATTGTATTTAAATTTTAAAAAAAATCAATTTAAGGGAAAAGGTTATTTAATTTTTAAATAATTTTTTAAAATTGACATTGGCTATGTTTGGTAAAACTAGCTGATAAACTAGCTGATGACTGATAAGCTAACTTATAGCTTATTGGTAATTTCGAGCTTATAGCTTATAACTTATGACTTATAGTTGAAAAACTAGCTTATATGATAAAAGTGTTTGGTAAAATTAGCTGATAAGCTAGCTGAAATAAAAATTTCAACGAGCTTATTTGAAAAGCTATCTTAAGAAGCTTATCAAATAAGCTCGAGCTTTTTAGATAAGCTCGTCCTACCAAACAGAACTTATTTAAATACATGGAGCTTATAAGAGCATCTCCAAGAGACTTCCTATTTGGAGAAATAAGGAGTCATCCTATATCCATTTGCTTCCTATTTTCCGTTGTCCTCCAAGAGTCTCCTTATTTTATAATTTGAATCGGAACCAGGCCCACAAATCTATCTAAAAAAAGCCGACTTGAAGCCCACTTGGACCTAGCCTTTTCGCCTCAACTAAACAGATGCAAAAACGTGGAGCCTTGATCGGACGGCGACGGCGGCGAGGGATTCGATCTGTTCAGGGGCGGCGGTGGAGGGCGTCGTGGATGCTGCGAGCGGGCGGCAGTGGAGGGCGACGAGGGGGAGATGAAAGGAGCAGGGAGGAAAAAGACCGCGAGAGGTTGAAAAAAAAGAGCGCGTATCGAAAATAATGGCGGGGAGATGAAATGGGGGGTCGTTTTTCCCTCCCAAAAAATGAGGAAGAGAAGCCTCTTGAGGTCATCCTAAAAATAGGACCAAGCTTGAAGGAACTATTGGAGACAGTTTTTAAGAGAAAATCCCTATTTTTGAGATAAGAAAGAGGAATAGGGAGGCTCTTGGAGATGCTCTGCTAATCAAATAAGCTATAAGCTACCTTATTGGTATTGAAAAGGATAGTTTCTACGTATACGATTTTTGGGTCTTATAATAGAATAATTTTTTTAATTCATATGTAATGAATTTACATATACCTTTTTGAATTGACATATAATTTTATTAACTTTTTATCATTATGTAAGATGACCTAGTTTTGTAACAAAAATACCATTATTTACTTGATAATTATATATATAAATATGATAATAAATACAAAAGTTATGAACTTTTAAATATATTTATGATTGAAGTTAGTTATGTGTTTTATAATTTTGAATGTCGAATGGATATAATACATATCTGCATATACGTTTTAAATCATCTTACCAACTTATATTATTATTTTTATTTAAAATAATACTTAGTACTCAATAACTTTATGAAGTGATAGTATATTTAATAGATAAAGTTATTTAATTAATAAATAAATTTATTATTTTTTAATAAATATTTATGTATAATTTACTTTTTATTACAAAAGTAAATATACATATTTATTTATATATGCAATATAGATATCAAATCGGAGTTTATTAGAAGTTGATTAACCTGGAAGATTCCAATGATCAATCACAAAGAACGTCGCTTTTCATCACTTCGAGGAGTACTTTTCGGGCAAGGGCACATAGAGATGCCTTGGTTAGAGTATGGAGTCAGATTGGGGTTGAGACATCTACTACGCCAGACAGGCTGGTTCGCATGATTACTGCGGACAGAGCTACATACCATAGGAAGTGGCCTCTTGGAATGCAGTCGTTCAAGCACTAGTAGACCTCAGATTCAATCTTCAAGCCAAAAGCCTGATCTTGCTACTAGAAAGCGATCAGAAAAAGAGCAAAAATAGATCGGTAGACGTGGGTCTTTACCTTTTTAATCACAAGGTTTGGAGGTTGGGCTTCGCCCTAAAAAATCAATCAGTTTTGCGCATTCCAAATTCAGTAGACGGTGGACGCAAGCGCCGCTTTCTTCAATTTGGCTCTCCAAGTCGTACCTTTCCTTTCTTTTTTGGTCCATTTGAGGGCACCTTTTAGAGTGGTTGGCATGTGACGGAGGCTAACCCTAACTGGAATTGCACTCTTGTTTATATATGTCTGTTGGCTTTACCGGTTTTTAAAAATATGTATGTACCCTGGCCTACTGCTTCTGCCCTTCTTTTGTGTCAGTAATAAGTCATCCGTCTCTTCAGGTTCTGACTGAGCTGAATTCCATCCCCTTACGGATGTTGTATTTGAACTTCTTGAAGTCATTGACTCAATCCCGTGCATACACGACTTCGACGTACGTACGTACGTCAAAGTTTATGTGAGTGATGAATAATAAATTAAAATTGATGCGATATATAAAAATGATGAATTGATATCATTTAATTATATTGATACAATCATCCACACTATTCACAAATAATGTGTTGACATGTGTCATACAATAAATACACTTTAAACATATGTCAATACATTAAGTGATGAATAAATCCATAAGGAAACAATCCGATGGTTTCATAGAATTTTTGTATATTGATAATATTAAATATAGTGAGATTGAGTTAAAATTGAATTAAATTTCGAACATGTATTGAGATTATTCATACACAAATTACCAATACACCCTCGTGGTTGTGTGAACTAGACGTGTCCATTTGCCGGGCCGGGTCGAAACCCGGCCGGGCCCGCTGGGTCAGCGCCCGGCCCGCTTGTA